CACACACACACACACACACACACACACACACACACACACACACACACAAACCCACCCACACGGTAACATTCACACCAAACACAAACATATATATCAAACACTGTCTATATATGTATTATATGTTGGGCAATCGCTAAAATTAGTGAATTTCGCATCAGAATTACAATACCTGCGCGAAAAAATCGATCTATCCAACTTGGCAAAACTCCACATGTGGTGCCAACATAAACAGTGGCATGATATCGATTAATAACCAGATCAGGGAATGAATACCATATCCTGTTGAATATATTAACACACAGATACTCATTTAGAACAAGAAATAAATACATCAAAGCGGATGAGTTCGCGAGCGGTGTAACATAGGCCTAGATTTAAACGACTGGCCAAAAGGCTCCACCGTCTAAAGTTAAAGCCAAGGACGCCATACATATTTCCAGGGGACTCGCCTTCATGGCAGAGACTCCCTGAACCGCCTGAATATCCGAGCTAGTCTAGTTCCATGCAGGATTTGCCAGAGAAGAGAGAAAAAAAGCTTAAATTTTGAAAAAAGGGGTATTATATATTGCTGTTGTTTTTGTTGTCTATTCTGTTGTTGTAAGAAGAGAAATTTGTCTTTCTTTTTTTCTTATCTAGTCAGTCGAATCTTTTTTTGTTTTAATCTCTTTTTCCTCTTCGTGAACAACTAAAGAAAAAAGTATGTAATAAAAAGGGAAAATATTCATTCAAGAAAAGACATGCGTAATACTCTCGCTCTTGAACATAAAGGTTGGTTCACACCCTAAAGTTATTATCCTTGTTGTTAGCTTGAGGCGGCCGTTCTTGTTACAAGAACCTTGTATTTCGCTTTTTTATCATTATAACAAAGCTAATGCTATCCACAGCCTTATTTAAAGAACAACATTTTATTTATTTAATTTTTTTTTTTTTTATATTTATTTATTTATTATTTTTATTTTTATTTTATTTATATTTTTATTTTTATTATTTTATTATTTTATTTTTTTTTATTAATTTAATTTAAACATCCCTAGCCAAGCCCCAGTGTTTATACCATTTCTACCTAGACAATTTATCGTACTTGGAATATCATGCCAAATAGACTTTAAGCTAACTGGTGGAGTAAACGAGATTAGTCCCGTTGGATTGAGGAGCCTTGCGTTAACAACCGCCAAAACTGAAACTAGTCGTTGCGGACGAGATAATTTTCGTTTTGCAGACATGCGTGCAGGAACTGGTTCGGGGAGATGGTCGTCTTGACATGTAGGTCTATTATTTGTCTGTGTAGGAGGAGTTGGAATTTTATTGTGCTATTGTTATTGTGTGTTACTATTACTACTACTATTATTGTTGTTGTTATTATTAGTACTTATTGTTAGTATTATTATATTATTATTATTATTATTATTATATTATCTGAATTATTACTAATATCGTTATTGTGTTAGTCGTTATTATTTATCTCAGATATCTATATATTCCAATCTGATTTACCCTGTATTCCTTTTTGTCGATTCATGATGTACTTCCAATGCCCTATTAAACCCAAGTTTTTGACTCCCAAAATCCCCATAGTAGCCCGCAATAAGTCTTCCTTAGCACTATTACCCCACAGCAGTTGCAATAACCTACCTCTCTTCTCTCTCGTTCCAGGGGGCTGAACGCCCGACTCGCCTTCGCCATCGCTGCAGCCTGCCTCGGGTCGCCACTTTCAAGCAGGATTACAACCTCGGTGTTATGAATGCGCGCTAGGGGTGCGTTTTTATCAGGTTTTTTTAAAAATTTTGGTTTTAGGAGATTATGTATACATCATATGGATATGTGTTTGGGTTTTGTTTGTTTGTGTGTGTGTGTGTGTGTGTGTGTATGTGTCGGTGTGTGTGTGTTTGTGTGTGTATGTGTCGTTTGTGTGAGTGTGTGTTTGTGTTTGTCGTGTGTGTGTGTGTTTGTGTGTGTTGTACGTATGTATGGATTAGTGAACATTTCATTGTCTCATTACGTTCATTACGTCTGTAACCCATTGAACTCATCCAGGTTTAGCGACAGAATAGTAACAGTAAACTCAGACCGACCGGCAAGGCGTGACGGCAATCTCTGCCACGCTCATTGGCTCGTGATTAGGCCTAAACATTGATAAACTTTGCACCCTAAAACCCTTCGTTCACTGCAAGGCTAACCCTTGTACGGTTTTACTTGCCTATATGCTACTCCTCTCCAACGCTGTCCTCCTGTTTCGTCGACTGTTTGTCTTATCCGGCTTTCTTTCTCTTGGGTTTTGTTGTTGTTTTGGTTTTTTGTTTTTTTCTCTCTTTTTTCTTTTTTTTCTTTCTTTTTAATTCTTTATCTTTATTTTCTATTATGATTTTCATTTTCTCTCTCTCTTTCCTCTCTCTCTCTCTCCTCTCTCTCTCTCTCTCTCTCTCTCTCTCTCTCTCTCTCTCTCTCTCTTTTCTCTCTCTCTCTCTCTATCTCCCTCCTGCACTCTCCTCCCTCTCCCTCTCCATCCCTTCCCTCCATCCCTCATCTCTCTCTACCCTCTCTCTCTTTCTCCCACTCTCTTCGTTCCTTTCACAAATGATTGGAATGTTATCGTGCTCGATAACTAAAAACAAAAAAAATTCTCCATTTTGTCCACTTAAAATTGCTACGCTAGAGTGTTCACCCTCAGACTATAATAATGTGTATCATTTACCCATGAGTTATTATGCAATAATAACTTTTTTAATGTAAAACGTATGTAAATAAGGACAAATACAAACCTATCGATATCAAAGGACCAAAGATGATCATGATAAGAGGAAAAAAAACATAAAAAAATAAACCGTCAAATGACTCTCAATGCAAAAAAAGTATGAAAAAAACGAGAAAATTCCCTACCCTCACTGGAACACGGACTTTTACTGTTAAAAAATGGACGAGTATGAGGTAGGGTTGCCAAGGTGTTGCAACGCGTGACATGATAACCAAGTTCGAGCTCCGGAGCTATTTTTTCTTTTTTTGTCTATGTCTCTGTCTCCGTGATTTTTTTTTGTTCTTTTTATCTCTCCCCACTGTGGTTTTCTGTTTTCTTTTCAATTCTGTCTTGTCCTTGTTTCTGTCTTTCTCTCTTTGTTTGTCTTTCTTCTTACTTCGTGTCTGTCTCTCTCTCTTTTCTCTCTCCCTCTCCCCTCTCTCTCTGTCCCTCTCCATTCTCCCCTTCCTCCCCAGCTCCCTTTCCTCTATCTCTCTCTCTCTCCTATCTCTCCCTTCTCCCTCTCTCCCTCTCTTCCCTCTCGCCCTCTCTCTCTCTCTCTCTCTCTCTCCTCTCTTTTAGAATGACAGTTCACGGGATCACGCGATGCGACGGTTCTTAGATTGCAACAAGCAAGGAGGTTGAGAATGTTGACCTTAGTGAAGCATTTTTACTTTTACTTTTGTTGTCTGTTTTAGTCTTTCTGTCTCTCCGTATCTGAGATTCATTACGTATCTTGGAGAGATCGTTATTGTTTGATATCAGTCTAATTTAATATCAGTCGCCACAACCATATATTCCCACAATATTTCGAAAAAAAAAAATGCTAAATTATTTAGGCGTGTAATCCTAAATCCAAAAAGTCCCATCCATACGAGAGAGAGAAGAGAAAAAATAAATAATTTCGGTAAAAGTTCTTAATAGCTCGGTTCTACGACAAGAATACGTGGCACGAGGGTAGTAGAAATCGAGAGCAACCAACTCCGCGGCGTGTTTTAGAAACCTTGGCAACGCACTATGCTGAATATACTTTATCCGAACCGATGCAGCGGACTTCCTCTCTATAGTTGAACGCAAGGTCGCCATTAAAAACCTTGCGGATACAATATACACGGGAAGAGTACATCTTTTGTCGCTATTAGGTCGCTTTTAAAAACCTGGGATACAATTAATACCCCCCCCCCCCCCGAGAAGAGTACATCCCTTTTTTGGCGCTCTTAGGTCGCTTTCAAACCTTGGATTACAATATACACGGAGAAGAGTAAATCTTTTTGTCGCTATTATTTGTCGCTATTAAAAACCTTGGGCTACAATATACACGGAGAAATAGTCATCTTTTGTCTTTGGATTGTTGTGAATGTGTTTGCCTCGTCAGGATAGGGCATTGGGCATATATAGGCGGTTTGGAAACCCTTGTGGTTAAATAAAGTGTATGTAGAGTCAGGAAGGTCAGGAGGAAAGCATAGGCAGTCATGGGCGATTGCTACTAAGCTTACGAAGGGATATTGCCACACACCGATTAATAATTCATTTTCTCATTATTCCCGAGGACACTGATTAAAATCCTGTCGTTGCTAGTTAGTTGCTAGTTGTTTTCATCTTTGCAAGAGTGATAGAGAGAGAGCGATATGTGTCAATCACAGGAAATCGTATCAGATATATCTCTCGCCGTCGCCAGTTGCTCGGTTTCGGAGGCCGGGGTTTCCTCTCGACCACTCAGAGCCGTCGGTCTTGGAGGCACGACTTGCCGGCTTGGGACGAGGGCGCCCTCTCCGAATCTTGACATTCCGGCTTCAGTTGACTTCGTCTAGACTTGGGGGCTGGGGGGGGGTCCATATTCCGAGGTCTTCGCTGCAAATAGGTAGTCCTGCTTATTCCATTTATCCCAATCCGCGCTCAGGGTGTAACTATAGATATTAATTAGAAGAGCAAGTAAGGAGGGAAAGGAAAATCGTAAGATAACCTTGACTGCTAAAACTGGATCAGTAAAAAATGCCATAATTATTACTCACTCCTTAGGACGTGGAAGACGCAGTGGTGGATAGGTACCAAGGCTCTTCTCTCTCTTGTCCCTTCCTTCCTCTCTCTCTCTTTCTCTTTCTCGTTCTCCTTCTTGTTCTCCTTCCTATCTATCTCTCGATCTCTATCTCTCTCTCTGTCCTCCCTCTCTATATCCCCCTCTCCCTCTCCCTCTCCCTCTCCTCTGTCCCCCCCCCCCTTCTCTCTCTCTCTCTCTCTCTCTCTATCTCTCTCTCTCTCTCTCTCTCTCCTCTCTCTCTCTCTCTCTCTACTCTCTCATCTCTCCCTAACCCTTCCTTACTTGGGACCGATCTCTCATTTTCCTTTCATAGTGATCTTCCTCAAATCCTGCTCCATCCTTGCTAAGGCTTCCGTGGCTGTGATTCCTCCTGCGTCTAGGATAATCGTGGGAGTTCAGTAAGTCACAACAAAAGGGATAATGGGGTTTTTGCTTTTTCTTTTACGTTAGTCCTTTTTCTTCTTCCTCCTTAATTTTTCTTTCTTTCTTTTTTCTTCTTATCCCTTCTCCTCCATCTCCTTCTTCGTCCTTTATAATTCTTCTCTCCTCATTATATCATTACTATTATTATTACTACTAATGTTATTATTATTGTTGTTGTTGCTTGTTGTTGTTGTTGTGTTTTTTCCGCGTCCTTCCTTTTCCCTCCAAAATATCACTCCGTGTAAAAAATGATTCTCACGTTTTTCAAAACCGGTAGGGCGGCAAGGTCTTAACCTTACGTATCGGCTGAGGAACAAAACCACTTTAGTTTTTTTCCGTTTTTATTTCCCCGAAACAATAAAGCTTCGGATTTTATTATGATTAGATGTATTTGTAATCGACGAGGTGATGTTTATTTTTTATATTAATGATCCCTGTTTCATCCAGTACAATGCCTCTCTTTCTTTCTTTCTTTCTCTCTCTTTTCTCTCTCTTTTTTTTCTCTCTCTCTCTCTCTCTCTCTCTCTCTCTCTCTCTCTCTCTCTCTCTCTCTCTTTCTCTCTCTCTCTCTCTCTCTCTCTCTCTCTCTCTCTCTCTATATATATATATATATATATATATATATATATATATATATATATATATATATATTAATGACCTCTCTATTCCTCCACATTTTTATTCTATATTAATGATCTCTCTATTCCTTCATATTATTGACCACCTATATCACACAGATGATTAAAATGCCCCTTTTTTCTTCTCCAATCCCACAGCTAATCGAGGACTGGCTAAACCAAACGAGTGCCACCGAAAATGAGGTGAACGACACTGCGTCCAACAGCACGCGGACATACATGGATAAAAGCGAAACGACGATGATTGTGTCGATTATGTTTCCATCTACTGCGTGGGTGGCATGGTCGGAGGTTCGCTCACGGGATTCTTCGCTAATAGGTGAGAAAATGGGCGTTTTTTGAATGGTATTTTGGGAGAATTTGGATGTTTTTGGTTGGTTTTTGAAGAATTTTGGGTGTTTTTTATGATATTTGGGAGAATTTGGACGTTTTTAGTTGTTTTTCTAAGATTTGTGTGATTTTGGGATAGTGTTGTGTGCGTTGCGTTTAAAAAAGCAAATCAATATCCCGCAGGTTCGGCCGCAAAGGAGGCCTCCTCATGAACAATATCTTCGCCATCATCGCTGCGATCTTCTTCGGTTTCTGCAAACTGGCCAACTCTTACGTCATGATTATTATCGCTCGTTTCTTCATCGGCGTCAACAACGGTCTTAACGCCGGCCTGGCTCCGATGTACCTGTCGGAAATCGCGCCCGTGAATCTCCGAGGCGCCATCGGTACCGTTCTACCAGCTTGTCGTCACCATCTCCATCCTGGTGAGTTGAGGGGCTTCGTTAGGAAAACGGGGTTCGGCATGGGATGGGGGGTTGTGTGCGGGAAGGTGGGGGAAACTTGTCTATTTAGGATGCTACCATGTGACTTTGTGTGGATTATGTAACTGAGGTTATTGACTTATTACAACTCTACTATGAAGTATCCGAAAGACGTATGTTACTTGGATTTTTAAATATGAATGAAAACCCCCAGTAAAGGATTCAAAATAACCACGATTTTTTTTTCTCTCGTCTTGTTCCCCTACAGTTCTCACAGATCATGGGTCTGGAGTCCATCCTCGGAACGGCAGATTTGTGGGCCTATCCTCCTTGCCCTGACCGCCCTGCCCGCCGTCTTCCAGCTGGTCACTCTGCCAATCTGCCCCGAATCTCCCAAGTACCTCCTGATTAACAAGGAAGAAGCTATTTCTGCCCAGCGTGGTGAGTGGTTGTGAAGTTTCTTTACCCTTGAATCTCGTGTTATTTTTTGACTTTGAGAATGAATTTCATGATTTTTTTTTCCCATTCTCTCTTCAGAATAAGAAAAAAGTATATATATATATCGGAGCTAGAATTATTCGTGTAAAATATCCCTAGTTTCTTTATCTTCGTTTTCTTTTTCTTTTTTCTTATCTACTCTTTCCTTAGCACAAAATATATATATATATCATCGGTGTTAGAATTATTCGCGTAAAATCTCCCTGATCCAACCTCCCTCTCACTTATTCTCTCTCTCTCTCCTCTCTCCCTCTCTGCAGCACTCACTTGGCTCCGCGACACAAGCAACGTGCAAGAAGAGATGGGCGAGATGAGGAACGAAGCAGAGGCAGCCAAATTGGTTCCCCCACGTGTCTCTGCGCGAAATCACAACCAACCCGACTCTGCGCATCCCTCTGGTTATCTCCATGATGATGATGATCGCCCAGCAGCTCTCCGGTATCAACGCTGTAAGTATTGGGAGGTGGTGGTGGTGGTAGGGAAGGGGGGTATGGGGGTTGTGGGGGTAGGGGGGGGTATGGGTGTGGGTGGATGGGAGAGGTGATTCTTAGCTCCTCTCTGTCGTTAGTGTTTTGAGAAGAGTATGACATTTTCCAATTGTCTCGACTACAATGGACAAATATTTCTAGCAATGTTTTGCAAGGCTTTCCTCTAACTAGCCCGGTTCCTTCCAGGTCATCTTCTTCTCCACCAAAATCTACCTGGCTGCCGGCCTTAGCGGACGAGGCCTCCCTGAACGCCACCATCGCTATGGGCACCATGAACGTGCTCATGACCATCTGCTCCCTCGTCATGGTGGAGAAGTTCGGGACGCAAGACCCTCATGCTCGCCGGCCTCTTCGGCATGCTGGTCGACGTCCTCCTCCTGTTCATCTGCCTCCTGCTCAAGGACCTCGCCTCGTGGATCAGCTTCCTGTCCATCTTCCTCGTCATCTTCTTCGTGGTGATGTTCGCCGTCGGGCCCGGATCCATCCCCTGGTTCCTCGTGACCGAGCTCTTCGCCCAGAACGCCCGGCCGGTCGCGTCCTCGATCGCCGTGGCCGTCAACTGGACCGCCGCCTTCATCGTCGGCCTCGGCTTCCTCCCCATCCAGGAGGTGAGTTCGGCGGGACGTTTTGACCTCGAGATGGGACGGAAGGAGAGGGACGCTTTTAAAATCACTTAGCATGAAAGAAGGCTTATTTTTATGGCTTTAGAAGAAAAAAAATATAAAGTTCATTTCATGATGATAAACTTTTTATACCTACAGTAACGCATTATACATAGACAAACAAGTCAATTTGTTCACGCTGTTTAATGCCCCGTTTTTTTTTCTCTCTCTCTCCAGATTATCGGCCCCTACGTGTTCCTGATCTTCGTCATCCTTCTCTCCTTGTTCATCCTGTTCACGTGGAAGAAGGTTCCGGAAACGAAGGGGCCGCTCCATCGACGAAATCACTGCCATGTTCAAGCAGTCGGCTTACGGAGGCAACAGCGTGTGAGGAGAACGGACAACTTCGTCGTTCCCTCCAGAGCGAACGGAGAAGTGAAAGCCGTTCAAGGTGTGGCGTTTTTTTAAAAGGAGAGACGAGGGGAGAAAATTTAAGAGAAGTATGTGTACATAGTTGTGCCGTCAGTGGAATGCAGTCGTCGTGTTTGCGATTGACATTCTTAATTTGGGATTTTCCTCGTGAATAGTTTTTTTTTTTTTGAGACACGAGCCGGCTTGTCCTGGGCTCGAAGGTCGGGCATTCAAAGGACATTAGACCTTAAGAGGATTTTCCCGTCGCCGAAGAACTGACATTTCTTCGTGCGGACGAGGAAGAGAACCGTTCCTCTGGGGCTCCGCGTAGCTTCGATCAGAACACCAGATTTTCTCCGTTTAATTTCTTAGAGCCGTAGGTGTTGTGACGTACCATGTGCCGTAGACTTGTGGAAGTTTATACTGAAGTGGAGGACACCCACGTCGGTGTTTCAATTTTCTTTTTTCTTTTTTTCTTTTTTTTTTTTATCTTCACATCCCAAGAGAATGGTCCAAGAGGGCTCCAGCACAGCAAAACACGCCTTGGGATTCCCTCGCTTTCAAAGGGGATTTCACTCCATTACGAATGGGTCTTTCAGGGTGATCGAATGGTCTTTGAAAGCGGGAGAGTCACTTGGCGTCGCTTTTCTTATGTATATGTGAAAAAAATAATAGAACTGTGCCTGGTTTGGCCTTCCTTAATTGTGTGATATAAACTTTGCTAATAGGAGAGTATTTTTTTGTGAGAAAAAAACATGATATATGTTATATTGGGGAATTGTGATGGGGTTTTAAAAAAGACGTAAAAAAAAACTTAAGAAATATGGAGGGAAGTTTTGATCAAACGAAATTTCGAACCTGTTGTTTTCTTCAGGTACGTTTTCATTGGCATACACTGTTTCGAAAAAAAAGTGCAAATTACTCAAGTGTCAGAAC